ATATAATGGCAAGGCAATGTCACTAGATATAATGGCAAGGCTATATCACTAGATATAATGGCAAGGCTATATATCTTCATATAATGGCAAGGCAATGTCACTAGATATAATGGCAAGGCAATATCACTAGATATAATGGCAAGGCTATATCACTAGATATAATTGCAAGGCTATATATCTTCATATAATGGCAAGGCAATGTCACTAGATATAATTGCAAGGCTATATCACTAGATATAATGGCAAGGCTATATATCTTCATATAATGGCAAGGCAATGTCACTAGATATAATGGCAAGGCTATATCACTAGATATAATGGCAAGGCAATATCACTAGATATAATGGCAAGGCTATATCACTAGATATAATTGCAAGGCTATATATCTTCATATAATGGCAAGGCTATATCACTTGATATAATGGCAAGGCAATATCACTAGATATAATGGCAAGGCTATATATCTTCATATAATGGCAAGGCTATATCACTAGATATAATGGCAAGGCTATATATCTTCATATAATGGCAAGGCTATATCACTAGATATAATGGCAAGGCTATATATCTTCATATAATGGCAAGGCTATATCACTAGATATAATGGCAAGGCTATATATCTTCATATAATGGCAAGGCAATGTCACTAGATATCATGGCAGTCCTGCATCAGCTGATATAATGGCAAGGCAATATCACTTGATATAATGGCAAGGCTATATATCTTGATATAATGGCAAGGCAATATCACTTGATATAATGGCAAGGCTATATCACTTGATATAATGGCAAGGCTATATATCTTCATATAATGGCAAGGCTATATATCTTCATATAATGGCAAGGCAATGTCACTAGATATCATGGCAGTCCTGCATCAGTTGATATAATGGCAAGGCAATATCACTTGATATAATTGCAAGGCTATATATCTTGATATAATTGCAAGGCTATATCACTAGATATAATGGCAAGGCTATATATCTTGATATAATGGCAAGGCTATATCACTAGATATAATGGCAAGGCAATATCACTTGATAATAATGGCAAGGCTATATCACTTGATATAATGGCAAGGCTATATCTCTTGATATAATGGCAAGGTTATATCACTAAATATAATGGCAAGGCTATATATCTTGATATAATGGCAAGGCAATGTCACTTTGATATAATATAATGGCTATATCACTTTGATATAATGACAAGACAAAATCTCTTGATATAATGGCAAGACCATATCCTTTGATATATTGGCAAGGCTATATAACTAGATATAATGGTAAGGTTTTATCACTTGATATATTGTCAAGGCTATATCTCTTGATAT